TAAAAGGATGATCAATAGATCTAAATCAGTCACAAGGTTTCCAATTTTAAATCCCATTAGTTTTTCAGATGGGCTTGCTTCAAGCTGAGAGTGCAGGCCTTTGAAGTCTACAGCATAAAGATATATTTAGAATGACCTGAATATTTCTTTTTATTACAGATACATTTCTATCTGATGTGTTTTTAGTATGTGGCTGGAGGAGTAACACCAAATAAGGGGCTTACTACTGTGTGCCTCCCTCCAGTAATACTGCAGTTCCAGTGCCTTTGTTACATGGCAGTTTCACTCCTTCACGCCTTATCAGAACAATGGGCGAGTGACCAAGGTCTATTAGTTTTCCAAAGGGCGTGGGAGAAATGCATGCATGGCGTTACAGAGAGTTCACGTCACCCTTCGCTCTACTTCTTTCGGACGGTCCTGTAGAAGGCTAGCACCATTTCATTTCTCCGTGGAAAACGAAGCAGTCGCGCGAACCGAGGGGAAAACGACTAATGAAACCAAGAAAGCAACCCTCAATGCCACATGAAAGGCGAGAAAACCCGCACGGCTATTTTCAGTAAGAGCATTTCTGTTTTTACTGAAAGCGCCACGAGCGAGAGAGAAAGAAAGGCAGAGGTGAACGGAAATTACGCCGCGTCGGAGCTGCAGCCGTGCGAGCCTTTCTGTAGCAGGTAGTTTCTCATTGGATGTGTGTTGTGTTTTTTTTAAACTGCTAGATTAAAGTGACAAAAGCTGGGTGATGAACACGAGGCGCCCTCCCGGATAAATCTCGAAGCATGGCAAGAATGCTCCTCTCAGAAGAAGCAGGTGCATTCCGCCAAGTGAAGGCGCAGGACGCAGAACGGCAGCGACGCACAGCCGCCTCTGGACCGTAATCACCTGCTCCAAAGGAAAACACCCCATTCTAAGACACTGTGGCTCTTAACCTGCGTATCATCGTCATAATAACTAGATTTTCTCTCAACTTAAATCTCGTCTGCTAACCAGGAGGATGAGAGTGCCGTGACACAGCGGGACGCATTTGGAAAATTCTGTACTGACAGGACGAAAAAGTCAAGGATTGTTCTGTTGGCTTTTTTTGTTTTTATTTTGCAGCTCACTCTTATTAAGGACAAAATTATCTGCAAGGATGGCCGGGGCACTCTTCTCAGTGGACTCAGTCTACATAGGAATGGAGGTGGTAATTGCTGTGGCGTCTGTAATCGGGAATGTGATGGTGGTCTGGGCGGTGAAGATTAATAAATCGTTGCGAGATACCACGTTTTGTTTTATTGTCTCCCTGGCTCTGGCGGATATTGCAGTGGGAGCACTCGTCATTCCTTTGGCCATTACTATCAACATCGGACTCCAAACTCACTTTTACAGCTGCCTGCTTGTGGCGTGCACGGTGCTGGTCCTGACGCAAAGTTCGATCCTGGCCCTCTTGGCTATTGCAATTGACCGCTATC